CCCGCTCCTTCCTAGTCTCTGCTGAGCCTGCCAACTGATGGTTGTGGGAGGGTTGCCTTGTGACTCCTCCCACTAGGAACTGGACTGAGATGCCACAAAACTCACTTCATGCAGGCTGCCAAACAGCCATCAGATGGTAACGATTTCCAGCCTGTGCTGGCTTGGGCCCAGCGGGCTAGAGCACAGGCTCTGTATCCAGTGACCTGTCCCTGGCACCTCCTGCTCCTGGAGTCCTGGCTCCTGCAGAAAGCCTGGCGTGCGCTCAGCGTGGCGCTGGCATGCTCTTCACAGGCCTGTTACATGATGGTGCTGGGCATTGGAGGAGCCTGCCATAACAGCCTTCCAAACGTCTGGCCGAAGGTGAGCTAGCTAATCCCATTCACTACCCAGCAGAGGGGAGCAGTCACTGGGCTGTGGGCGGGGGAGAGAGAATAAGGGAGCATCCTGTGCAGCTGTGTGGGGGCCAGGGGCTTGTTTTGTTCAAGGGAAGCAGAGTTTTGGAATAAGATTGCATAATTATTTTAAAACCATGGCTTTGGCCTGGAGTGACCTTCCCTGCTATTGTCTGACGCTGCGGCACGGGAGGCTGCAGAGGGGACTGCTTGGGCTGTGGGTTTCAGGAGAGGGGATGGGTGTCCCTGCTGACCTGGTAAAACCTCTCCCCCTCCTCTGAAGGGTGTTCCCAGGCTCCCTTGTGCTCATTGCCAGCTGGAGTCACAGCAGCTGACCCCTCTCTAAGAGCTGTAGACTTGGGGTATGTCGCACTGCAATGAGATGCCTGCATCTGGCCCGTGCTAACTGACTCAGGCTTGCGGGGCGGGCTAGGGGGCTGTTTAATTGCAGCTCTGGGACCCTCCCACTTCACAGGTGCCTGAACCTGAACATCTGCACCGCAATTAAACAGTCCCTTAGCCCGAGTCAGCTGGCACGGGCCAGTTGCTGGTTTTGCACTGCCCTGGTGGCCTGGGGAGCTGAATCCTGCAGGTGTGGGGCAGACCGCCCACGAGGAGCCAGCCTTGCTGGCCTCTGGGGCTGTAGACTGACAGGCTCTGCTTGCCAGGGTAACTGCCTCTGGGCTGTGCCAGGGAATGAAGTCCATTGCCCAAGGCAGCTGCAGCGTGAGTTGGTATCGGCTCACTGGAGCGAGGGGGGCTGAATTGTCCTCCTGTCCTGGCAGTGCTGGCTTCTCTGCTGTGGCCGCATCACTTTCTTGCCATGGGGACCCACGTGGTGTGGGGAGGAGGTGATGTGCCCCTGCGCGCACAGTGTGAGGGCTGGTGACAGCGGCTGGCTCGCTGGGTCACCCTGCACAGACAGCTCTGACCACGGGGTGGGGGGCAGTTAACCATGCGCCCTGCACAAACAATCCACCCCCTGTCTCCCTGGGACAGAGGTGCTGATGTGATCTCCACATGCCTTACCTCCCCAGTTACCTCTTCTGCATGGGGCCCTTCCAGCCCCGCCCCTCACTACAGCGTTGGAGTCTCCTCCTCAGGGACAGCCTTGCCTGGCCTCCCTTCTAGGAGCTGGCCAGCCAGCTTGCGTCTCCTCTTATGGGGCAGTCCTGCTTCCTGACCCTGGTACCCAGTAACGCCTCCACTGGCTCCCACAGCGCTGACTACTGGACGCAGGTGCCCTGGTCCTGTGCCCCAGGGCGCAGTGGGGAGGCTCTAACCTAGCAGGTGTGTGGGTAGGGAGGGCTAGCTCAGCTAGTGCAGACTCTCTCTCCCCATGTGGTGGGAGCTATTGATCTTGCTGGAACGCGGGTGGTGAAGAGCCCAAAGGGTCCAGCCAAGCCCCCCTGCTCCCCACTCATTCCCAAAGCTGCTGGCTGTGTGCTCCAGGCATGTGGAATCAGTGGAGGGGAGTGGGCCAGCTGGCGGCTGCCTCTTCAGCTTCTCGGTCTGCGACTGGATCAAACTGACTCCTCCCCCCCCCCCCCCCCCCGAGTCGCTGCAGCGCTGAGTCCCTCTGTTGGGAGGACAGGCCTTTGGAAAGCTGGTGGGTCTGGTGTCAGTCGCATCGGGCTGGGGTCGTTTGGGAGCAAGGCCTGGCCATCATCCCATGGGCTGCACCAAACTTCCTGCCCTGCTCTGTGCTATGCCTGGTGCAGCTGCACTGTGGGAGCGGCGTTGGTGTAGGGCTGCCCCCGCCCTCTCACCCTGTTCAGGAGATGTCTGAAACCCTGCTGCCCTGGGTTCAAATGCTGCTCTGCCACCGACATCCTGGGTAACCATGAGCTAGTCCCTTAGAGCCCCAGTGTGTAACTGGAGGTAATTCTCCCCTCCTCCCGTGGGAGGAAGAAGTGGCTGGTTGTGAGGCCCTCACTCTGACTGTGGTGAGGAGGGCTGTGTAACAGAGGTGGGTGGGGGAGAGCTGGGGTCAATCGCTCTAGTATAGGCAAAGCCAGTAAATGCGGAGCCAGGGCCCATGTGGCGCGAGGCAGAGGCACAGCCTGGTCATGATGGTTCTGCACTGAAAGCAGAAGTGAGGGTGTGACCGTGGCTGTGGTGAGCGTGGTTCTTGCTGAAGGTTAAAGAGGGACATGCTCATTCCACACGGACTGGGACTGTAGCTGCTGGCTCTGCATGGTGACCGAATTGCCTCCCTTCTGCCTGAGCTTGTGTAGTACAAGGGCTAAATCAGATCTAGGCTAAACTCAGATTGTGCTGGTTTGAGGTTTCCAGTATCCGCTACAGCTCAATGCTATTAGGGTGACACAGGCACTAGCATTTCGAGTGTCACTACCGCACTGTATCGCTTGTAGGAAGCAGTGTACAGTAATACTTGGTGTTGGGGGAAGGCTGCGTTACAGGCTGTGGTGGGCTGTCACTTTCCTGATGTGCATTAAAAATCTCCCCCAGGGTATCTGAATTGAATCAAGTTTCTCATGACATGCTGCTTGTTCCCAGCCCAGCGCCCGCTGGGCTCCATCTTACCCGAGTTGGTAGAGGTGCACACAGCTGTTAAAGGATGGTGCACGCCCGTGGCAAGGAGCCCATGTGAAAGGCCTGTCTCCCTTCCATTGCAGGTGCCATCCAAATTGCATGTGGATTGCTCCTATGGGCGCAGCACAGGCCGTTCCTGGATGCAGGATCTAACTCAATTTCTTGCCTCTCTGCGCAGTGGGTTGGTGCCAGTTCTTTAGCTTCCCGGGCTCAGGGCTTGTGCCGCACTGAGGGATGGTATCTGTAGTGCTGGCTGGTCTCATTTGGATGGGGGCTGGTCTGGGAGGTAGAGGGCTGTGGCTTTGCTTTACACCCAGTAAAAGTCTTAATACCGGTGGAGAGAGTAAAACCGCTGCCAAGTTCATGAGCTCTCAAGTCCATCCTGTCCCAAGCGCATCCCTCTGAACCAGGGCTGATCTGCCATCGGATCCCCAGGCCTGAGCCCAGATGTTGCTATTGCTCTGTAGGACAGTCTGGGGCTGGTGGGAGGTAGATCTCTGGCAGACCTGGACCCTGGCTTTGAAGCATCCCCTTGGCAGTACTTGAAGCTGTTAAAAGGGGGTTGGGGCGATGTCTGGTAGCTGGCTTTGACTCCAACTCAGGCTCTCGAAATCCATCCCCCAAACGCAGGGAGCAGAGGCAGTGCAGAAAATGACTGGTAGGAATTGTAGAGGACCTGGAAGGCTGCCTGAGCTGCCGAGGTCAGGATCTGGCCAGTGACTCCCTGTGAGTAACACCCAGCTCGGGTAGACATGCATGCGCTAACTTGGATCCAGCTAGTGCGCTAAAACCAGCAGTGTGACCACAGTGGTATGGGTGATGGCTCGGACTAACCACCCAAGTCCAGGCCCTATTGGATGGTTAGCCTGGGCCACCATGGTCACACCACTGGTTTTAGAACACAGGCAGAGTCTTCCTCTACCTGAGCTGGGAATTGCATCTCCCTGCTGCAGTGTAGATGCACCCTAAGAAACTGGTGCTGCCAGTTGTCACCGGCTGCCAGTCCAGAGTCTGTTAGTGCAGCACCCTGCCATATTTTGTTCAGAGCTCTGAAGTTAACGCTCCTGCCCAGTAGAGCAGGGCAAGGGCTGCTGCCTGTTTCTGTGCAGAGTGGCCCACGTGCTCCAGGGTTCTGGAGTAGCTTGATGGCGCCTGTAACTTGTTCTTTCTACTGCTTCTGGCTCAGGAACCAGACACTGACTTACATGGCTGCTGTTAAAGGTTTAGTACTTGGGGCCTAATCAGGCCTGGGCCCCCATTGTGTTAGCTGCTGTATAAATCTGTCCAGACGCAGTGCCTGCCCTGCTTAGCTTACAGTCTGACTAGTGGCAGCTGTTGCCTCCCCCTCAGGCCATCGCTGGCCAGTGTCTGACTGGCAGAGACGTGGGGAGCTGGCTGGGAGTGGGTCAGGAAGGGTGGAAGGAGAGGAATGGGCAGGCCAGGCTGGCGTCATTGCTGGTGCGGTGAAGGTGGGGGGTTGGTAAGATGCAAGGCTAGGTAGAGAAGGGGCACCTGGGAGGGTTCTCGAAGGTGGGGCCAAGGCGCTGGCATCTGCGGTGGTGAAATGATGGGAGCTGGTGTAGGTAGCAGAGCAGCAGGCCGGGAAGAGGAACCTGCACGCAGACTGGAAGGACAAGGTGGAGCGCCAGGGACCAGGACAGAACAGCCTGGATTGTAGGAATGCAGCAAGGTGTGATCCTGCTGGGCTGCAAGGAGAGGGCCGGGGGAGTCGAAGCTGAGCCCCGGGTTAGAGGTCTGTGTCGTGAGCATGCAGAGTAGGAGGGTTGTATGCGAGGGGGATTCTCAGCAAGCACTTGTCCAGACCCCATTGTCCTAGGGAGCCTGGGCGGGTTAGAGCCGTTCCCCAGGTGCTCCAGGCGGCAGGGAGTAGCGCAGGGGGATGGGGCGCATGGAGCAGGTGCTCTTGGAGGTGAAATCCTCTGAAAGGGCTGCAGGCTCCCAGTTCCACTTGCTGTGAGTGGAGCGATGCTAAATCCTGATTTGGTGGCTTTGCCCCTTGTCACATGTTCTCTTCTCTCCCCGGTCCCCTAGGCTGGAGGAGGTGCCGCTGGAGGTGCTGAGGCAGAGGGAGTCCAAATGGCTGGATATGCTCAATAACTGGGACAAATGGATGGCCAAGAAGCACAAGAAGGTAAGTGCACCTGAGAGCTCTAGTGCTCTTCTCCCAGCTGTCCTGTAACCCTGGCTCTGGCAGTTCTCACTTCAGGGTGTTGGGACCCAGAGGGTCTGTGTAAATGCCCCCGGGGCTGGGGGTTTCCTTCCTTGGTGTGAGTTCCCTCTGCCTAACCCTCTCCAGACACCTCAGCTGTGCTCATCCAAGCAGGGTGCTCAGAAGTGTGAGCAGAGGACTGATCATGAGCTGACTCATCCTGGGAGCTGGGTAGGGAGTTTTTCTCACAGGCCTCTCTCATTCAGGGAGAGAACAGTGGGGTTGGGTGGTGCCCTCTCTGCCTTTCTGGGAGCTGTTTGGCTTTAGCTGCCGAAGTGTCACTGTACTGGAGCAGCTAGTGGTGGGGCAGCTTGGCCTTAGCAGAGCCTCCTTTTCCCCCACTGGGGGGTGTCCTAATCTGAAGGGGAGAGGGGCCTGGCCCACTTTGTTCCCATCTCCCCTGGGTCTTCAAAGGCAGCGCTCTATGTTCAGACCTCAGCTGTGGGGAGCCAAGGGGGGGGGAGGGGGGGGGGAGAGGAGAGGGGAGCGCGCTTAAAGGTTAAAACCAAAATTCCTTCCCGGTCTAACACTTGACTTAACCCCGAATGTTTGAAATCCACGTTTCCTCACCGATGCTGCTTGCTCCACTGTGTGGTCTGCTCGGACTACGGAAATATGCTAATCAGTTTCACTTATGGCTTTGTTCCCTACACCTGTGCTGAAGTGTTTGCATTGCAAGTACAGAGTAACGGGAACGCAAACGACGTTTTCATTGACACCTTTAATTTCATTGGCGTCATGGGAATCTCAAACTCTGAGCTTTTGTCTGTAACTTTTCCTTTTTGGACCTGAATGGACGTGGCTAAGGGCTTGGCGACTGTGTAGCCACTCGCGGGCTGAACCCCTCTCGGAGGAGCCATTTCCTCTTGTGCCAGAGTCTGTTTTTTCATCCCTGGGAGGGGATTGAACTTTTTAAAAATGAAAAACAGACCTGCAGAGCTCAGTGCAGTGTCTTAGCTAGGCCTGTGTCCGTAGTGCTGCAGTGCCCAAAGGCTCAGTGACAATTGGAGCCCTGCTGAGCAGCGCCCGGCTCAAACGCAGACTGGCGCTCTGCCCTGAACTTAGATTCCTACGTCATCTCTATCTAGGTTAGTGAGGTTTCCCATAGATTGCTAATCTGCATCCATCCCTGTCTTGGCAGCACAGTTCTGTCTGGAGTGCAGAGCCCACCTGGCTCCTACTTGTTTCTCTGTTACCGTCCCTAATAAAACCAGATGCAGTTGAGGATGCTTCTGGCAGCATCTTTCCTAACTCTTGTGCTGTTCCTCTGAGCAGAGCAATCACTCATTCTACTGCTTGTGTCAAGTCCACAGAGCTCCCAGGAGAAGGCAGGTGAGCAGGCCAGGCGAGCTCCCAGGCAATTGAACTGCTTTCGCTAAGGCCTCTTGCTAGTAACGCAGGTTCCAGCCCTGTGGTGGTGCCCCACCTGCATACTTGCAAGCCTGAGACTTCCTCCTTGCAGCTAGGACTGATCCCTGCGCAGATCTCTGCAGCACTGTGCCCAGGGTCTGACTGAAAGCGCTGAGCAGCCTTCCAGTGCTGCACTTGGGGCCGAATGTCTAGGGCTAGCTGTCAGGAGCAGACGAGTCCCAGCTTGCTTCCAGGCTGGGAGTGGTTCTTTGGCGGCACCACAGCTGTCCAGTCTGTGCAAGGCTGTTCTGGGGTAACTCCCTTCATGCAGACCTCCCTACCCTGAAGCATCAAGACTGGACAGCTCTTATTATCTTTAGCTGCCGATGTCAATGGTCCCTTATCCTGGCCTGGTGAAATCCAACTGTGCGCACGCTATGCTGTGCGTGCCTTGGGCTTCAGCATTCCTTTTTAGTGTCACCTCATTCTCACCTTGTGGGACTGGTTAAAGGGAAACGTGATCACACACTGCACATGTGCATCCGTGGTAAGGGTCCCCTCAAACCTCCCCAGACTAACCGATCAGCCTGGGCATTGTACGTGAGCACTGCCTTCCTGTGCACTCTTCCAGGGTAGGACAGCCTGAAATGGACAAGTCCTACTGGAGAGTGAGTCCCATTGCTTTAGTCCAAAGCCTGCCCTCCCTTCTCATCCCATTTGGAGAAAACAGGCTGCTTAGTCTCTATACCATTCCCAAGCACCGAACTCTCCAAATCCTCTCTTCGATTTTGGGGTTGGGCAAGGGCAGTGTCATAGGCAGGTCTGAACTGAGCTCCCATTCCTTGCTTCTGCCTGACCCGTCCATTCCACTGTTCCTCTGTACAGAGCAATCCAGGGAAGGGGAACTTCTAATGCTAGTGCCGTGAGATGATTGAATGGAGCCAGAGCATGAAGCCAACAGCTAGGCTCAGCATTTCTGGCTCTGCCGCAGAGTCACGTGTCTCCATGGAGCAAACACTTGTCCAGATCCCATTGCAAAGGGCTGGTAGATGATTGATAAGCCCAGGGTCTCTGCTGGGGAGGGCTCACTGGGCTTAGGCAGAAGCCAGTTCCCATCTGCAGTGCCCCAGAACATGTGACACTTCCCCTCAAGCTGACAAGAGGCTCTGGCCTGCGTTCCATGAATAACAGAGGGCTGCCAGCGCCTCTTGCTGAACATCGGTGGCAGGGCTAAGGCTGGGGGGAGCAAGTCTGTTCCTGGGGTGGGGGCTCCCTGTAAAATCCCAGCACTGGGGCCCCTCACTGCTCTGCTTCTGGTTTTGCAGCCTTCTGTCAGGTGTGTGTAGAGTTGGGGGTGGGTGGGGAATGCGAGTCATTATCACCAAGACTTCCCTGCTGCCCATGGTGTTAACCAGGATTCTCTGTCTCCTGGCATGCCGAGACTCCCTCCTGGGCCTGTTCCCACCCCGCCCTTCTCAGGTGCTCTGGAGAAACTGCTCAGCAGCACACCCCAGGCACCTGGACCCCTCACTTCTGCTTCTCCCTGCTCTTCCTTCCCGGTGGGCCCTCCAGACACACCGCTTTGGCACGTTGCTCCGGCTTCACCTTCTCCCTGCTGTCCATCGCTTCCTACCTTGTCAGACTTTGCCCACCAGGCATTTGATCCAGAGCCTCTTCCTGTCTCTCACTGCCCCCAGAAAGGATCAGGACGGGTGACCCGGGGAGAGGTTCTCATTCTGCAGATACCGCTTGAACACTAGAGTTAAAGTAACAAGTGAAACTGGCAAGACTTCATCAGCGGCGATCCTGAAAAGGGAGGTTGGGCTGTTCCCAAGGGCAGGTGCAGAGAAGAAGGGGCTCTCCACTGGCAGGGACAGGGTGGGAAGGAGAAGGGATTGCTCAGCGGGCCTCAGCGCCTGGCAGGGGGTGATTCTGAACTGGCTCCTGGTCTGAATGGGGAAGACGCGGGGCCGCAAGTGGGGAAGGAGACAGGACCGCGCTCTGTGCGGAAGAGGATGGCTGGCAGAGCTATGCACAGGCTGGAGTGGAGAGCTGGGACTCCGAGAGCCTCACTGTGGGGGGCAGTGGGCTGAGGTTAGAGGAGGTGAAGGCCTAGCTTTGAGCTGGCAGCACTGCTGAGGGATGGCGCGAGCAGGCGGCGCTGGTGCTGGGAGACGTGGGAAGGCAGTGCAGAGTTAGTGGCTGCCCACCAGTGTAGGGCCCAGTGTGGTATGGAAACAGCAGGACTCTGGACGTTACTTGTGCTTAAAATCCTGCCTGCCAAAACCAGTTCAGCCCTCAAGCCTGAGGCACAGTATCTGTGAAGCCTGGGATGCTGCAGCTCTGGCCTCGGCTCTTCCCATCCCTGGCACAAAGGGCTGCGGTGAATGAGCATCCAGGTGAGCTTTCGTGGCCTAAAAATCTCAGGCATCTTGGCTGGGCTGCCATCCCCTCATGGCTGGGTTCAGCTCCCAGATTTGCGTCCTCGTTCCCTGCGCTGCAGGGCTTGCACCTGGGCCTTGTTCCCACTGTCCCCGTGGGCAGCCTTGTGCATGGGAGAGGGGAGCGGAGCTTGGCGGTGACTGTACAGCTGCACGGGCGCTGCCGAGCTGAGTAGAAGCCAGTGCACAGGTAATCCCTCAGCCTCTAGCTGTCTGTGCAGTGGGATAGCTGACCCAAAGATGTTCTTGCTCCCAGCTCTGCTTCCTCCTTGCCTGTGAAACCAGTGGGAAGGGGACTGTGGCTTTAAAAGAAGCCGTCAGCGTTTCAGAGATGCCTGCTGCTCTGGGCGCTGTGCACAGTGCTTCCTGTTAGTGTGAAGGCCCTGCGCTGCCCAGGGCCTTGCTCTGCTCGGGAGTTGTTTGTTCAGGCTGATTGTGTTGGAAGCTGCCCTGGTGCGTAGACCAGGAAGTGCTGTGTTTCCAGGAACACGGTTCTCGCCTGGGGTGGGGGCTAGCACGTGCAGTTACTGCCCATTGTTGAGGAGTCTCAGCCATGCTGCCTTAAGCCAAAGCAGCTTCTGCTAGGCCAGATGTGACTGGTCAGTAGCTCAGCGGCAAAACAGAACGGCGGGTGACAGATCACTGCAGTTCTTAGAGCAAGAGCAAACAAGCCCAGTTCCAGCTCGTTCTGGTGACAATCTGCCTCCTGAGCTTTCCTGACGGGGGGTTGGGATAGCTCAGAGGTTTGAGCATTGGCCTGCTAAACCCAGGGTTGTGAGTTCAATCCTTGAGGGGGCCATTTAGGGAACTGGGGTAAAAATCTGTCTGGGGATTGGTCCTGCTTTGAGCAGGGGGTTGGACTATATACCTCCTGAGGTCCCTTCCAACCCTGATAGTCTATGATTCTATGGCAGCTGATCAGAGCGTGGCCCATCAGGGAGTAGAAGCAGAGCCGATGGGGATGCAGCTGGAGCACAGCCAGCTGAGGATTGCAGGACTGTGCTTTCCTCTTGTCTGGGATCTGGGCAGCCTGCTGGGTACTGTCCCATAGCGCATCTCTCAGAACGCTCCAAGGGGTCAGTGGTCAACTTCTGTGCCTCAGTTTCCCTACTTGTACTGACTTGCCCAAGGTGTCACAAGTCAATGGCAGAGCAAGGTCTAGAACCCTGTATGGGATGAGAGGTTTCTGATTATACAGAGGGGTCACTGGGTTCGGATTCTTCCTCTCACATAGCTGACTGTACCCCTCCAGTCCCCCCTGTACCAGTGGGGCTGTGGGTGGGGCTGCGATTCCAGCATTAGCTGCCTTTCCCCCTACTGGAGATGTCCCCCTGCCTGGCCAGTGGCGCATTGGGGTCTTTGGTAGAGGAGGTGTCTGCTGGGCTGATCAGCACAGCCTCAAACAGCTGGACTCCTGACGGAAGCAGCTGCTACAAAGTGACTGGGCCATGCTGAGAGGTGCCCCCGCCTGGGCCATAGCCCAGGGTTGCGCTCCCCCTGCCGCCACCCCCGTCTCCTCCTAATCTCGCTGTTGTGTACAGAGAAGCTGTTTCTAGCATCATTAAGTGTCAAGATCTGAGTGGCAGCTCAGGGTTTTGGTGAGTAAGTCCTGGCTGGGAGCCGTGGGTGCTTCTAGGGCACTGGAGAGGCTGACAGGTCAGCTTTGGTAGCCCTAGTGGCAGATGTGTGGCAGGTTCCCGGCCAGACTATGTACTGTGGGAGGGCTGCGTAAGGAAACCTCAGGGCGTCTTCCTGCGTTGCCAGAGCTGCCTCCATGTGGCAGGGCTTGGACAGGGCGACTGGAGCAGCCCCACTGCGATCCACTGACGGCCACTTCCTTGATCCGAAGGGACCCCTGGGACCCTCTGACCTAACACATGCTGAGAACTGCCCTGAACGAATTCCTGTCTGACCTGGAGTGTCTGTTGGAGACACTTCCGACGCCGGTTTAAAAACTGCCCACGATGGAGAATCCACCACGTCCGTTGGTGGATCGTTGCAGTGGTTAGTTACTCTTGCTGTTAAAAATTTGTGCCTTATTTTCCCGTCTGAATTTGTCTAGCTTCAGCTTCCAGCCATTGGATCGTGTTATTCCTTCCTCTGCTAGCCTGCGGAGCCCACTGTCCAATATCTGTTCCCCATGTAGGGACTTAGACTGATCACGTCACCCCTTACCCTTCTCTAAGCTAAACGCAGAGCTCCTGGGATCTGTTGCTCTAAGGCGTTTTCTAACCCTGCAATCATTCTCAAGCTCTAAATTCATCTGGCTGAATAGCCCATTGGGCAGTGGTCTCTGCCTCAGCCTGTTTCCTGGCAGCCAGAGAGCTCTACTGATTCTCCCCTTCGTGGGGAGGCAGGCAGCTGCCTCGTGATTTGGACTTTGGTCCCAACTGAACACGTGCATCCAAAAACTACTGCAGGTTGTGGACGTTTGACACAGTTGGCAGCTGCGGCGGCTGCTGCTACCCCTCAGGCCTGGCCCGGCCTGTGGGTAGCAGGGGGTGTGGCAGCTGGTTAGATTGGAATGCACTGGCAGTGCTGGCATGGGAAGGTATCTGTCACTGCTCTTGCCTGGCTCCAGCCACTGCCATTATACTGCAGCCTTGACTTAGCCAAAGGATGTTCTGATGGAAACGCTCCCTTGTTCCTCTTGCACAGAGCTACTGAGAGTTGTCTGGCTCCTACAAGATGGTCCAGCTTAGCAGAGTCCTTTTTGATACACCATGCCCAGTTAACCTGTGGAATTCACTGCCACAAGATGTGGCCAAGAGCTTAGTAGATTCAGACATTTATTGGGGCAAGTGTCCGATCCTTATCTACTATTGCAGTACACAGAGTAAGAGAGAGAAGCCCTCATTCCAACTACTAACTGATGGAGGTTGGGAACAAACTTCCTGGGGTGACAGGTTATTCCTGAACTGCCAGCTGGTGGGTTTTTGCACCTGCATCTGAAGTAGCTGGAGCTGTCTGCTGTGAGACAGGGTATTGGCCTAGATGGGTCTCAGGTCTGATGTGCTGTGGCAATTCCTAGGCTCCTAAGAAAGGGTCACTGGGGCCCTCCACCTCCTGGCTGCGAAGGTCAGCATTGTGGTGGGAAGCCAGCTCGCACTGCTGTCATGGGGGGAGTGGGGCTGATCATTTGAGCTCACTCAAACACTATGTTGGTTTGGATGCACCAAAGCTATAGTAGAGTCAAGCTTCCCCTCCCCCAGTGGGGGAGACGCCTCCTGCAACACTGCTGCCTCTCCTCCCTGGAACGTGCCACCTCGTGCCCAGCAGCCTAGCCCTGGCTCAGCACCAGGGCTGCAAGGAGGAAGCAGCTTCCATATGTCTGGCTGCCTTCCACTCTTCCTCTGTGTGCAGGCACTCAGCTGTTCTCTGGCATTGCAGATCTTGTATGAAGGCTGCGAGGATCAGTGCGCCCCAGGAGCCGGGAAGGGCTCTGTTTTGTTTCATAATACAAATCCCCAGCCTAGTCTGTGTTATGGCTGAGTCCTGGGGAGGGCTGATCCTGATCTAGACCCTGCTTTGTCTTGCTGCTGACGTGGACTGTGAAACTGCAGCCATCCCCAGCTCTGGCTGCTGTCTCTGAACCTTTAAACTTCCCCTGCGCTGCCCAGAGGCAGCCGCCCCTCCCCGGAGCTGCAGGGAGCAGTTGAGGTTGAGGAGTTTGCATATTTGCATGGTTCCCTTGAAATCATTAAGGAAGCCCTGGTGGCTCCATTCTGCCGGTGAATGGCCTGAATTGAATTCCTGGGGTTTCCTGTTAGCTTTGCTCAGGGAGCAGGGAAGTGGCTCGTTATCCGCCCTGACACTTCCCCCCATGGACGCTCCCAAAATGCAGATTCCAGATCCCCACCTCCTGGACTAAGAGGGCTGGAGCAGCTCTTTAGCCACAGCTCAGCTGGCTGCAAAAACAAAACTGCAACACAATCTTGTTCCTGGCGTGAAATGGCAGCTCCCTCGGATTGCCTGGGCTTGCAGCAGCCAGGTCCCTCTCCCAAAGCTGAGGCCGCATTCAGGAGCAGGGCTGGGGGGACAGAAGAGCCACCAAAGCAGTTGCAAGCCCTCAACCCCTGCAGGCAGCCTGGCATCTCTCCTGGCACCCTGGGGCTGCCGCCCCCAAGATCCCAGCATGGAGCTGGGCTGATCATTCGCACAATGTGAGTGTTCCTAATGTGAACTGGTTCCTGGTGCTGCAGGAATTTTCCTGTGAGCTTCCCGAGCAACTCGAAGCCTTGACTGCAGCTGCCCCAAGCTGTGAGTTTGATCCCCAGTCTGAGTGTTGGTGCAGGAGGGCGGGAGTGCTCTGGTTCTCCGTGTGCCTGAGGGTCACCCCATAGCGTGCTCCGAGCTGTACAGTGCCAGTGTTGGCAAGATGCCATAGTGCCGGCCAGCATTGTCTCTGCATGCCCGTCCCATTGCCTCTGTCAGGTGCTAGCCCAGCCTGGCCAGAACTTGGAGCCGGATGTAAACACAAGCCTGTGGTGCTTCCCACAGAGCTGGGGAGCCAGCCTCGGCCTCTGCGCCAAATTGCCTTCTGCTGCTCTCCAGTCGCCCTGCAGTGTGCCTCACTCGCTGTCCTGCAGTGCTCTGTTCAATCAGCTGCTGCCTCTCGCCCAGAAGTGGCTGCTCTTTGGGTGAAGCAAGTCTGTGAGCATCTAGCTAGTGAATCGCTCTGGGGTGCCAGTTGCTGGATGCATGTTAGATTGCTGCTCTCCTATCTGTGGCTAGCCCCCACATTCATATCTGCCCTGCTGGGTTTCAGTGCCTGTCCCCCTTTGCCTTTCAGATCCGGCTGCGCTGCCAGAAGGGGATCCCGCCCTCCCTGCGGGGCCGGGCATGGCAGTACCTCTCAGGGGGCAAGGTCAAGCTGGAACAGAACACTGGCAGGTTTGATGTAAGCAGTTCTCGTTTTCTCCTCTTCCTGTATGATCTGCAGTTCCCCAGAGGTTAGCGCTGCTGGTGCTGACTGCAAAATGAGCCCAAAGGACGCGCCCATGTGGGACGCTGCTGGCATCTAGGGAGGCCACCCGAACTGGGATGACCTGCCCGTCGCCTGCAGCACCAGGTCATAGCAGCTCTCGCTTCCACATTGCCCTTCGCACCACTGGGACTGGATCTCCCTCCAGCACCCACGTGTGCTGCCCAGAGTGTTAGCAATTCACGGTACAAACTACCCGCTCTGGGCCTTTGCACGGGTTCCCCTGACTTATCTGAGCTTTTGTTACAAGACCAAAACGGTCCCAGCCTGTCTGGTGTTGGTCTGTCCCTGGGGCTGAGGTGAGGGGCTTGGGGGCCAGTCTGAGTGGTGATATTTTGACTGGCTTGATCTCCCCGGCTCCAATCCTGCCCTTTTGGTATCATCCATCGCTGCTCGCCCAGCTGCTGCTGTGCAGGGCTGAAAAGCTGCATCGATCTCCTGTTTTAAACCCCTGGTGGCCGTGATCCTATATCCGGCAGACACTAACCCCACCAGCTGCAGTGTGAGTGTCCCATCTTGTATCGGTGCAGCGGTCGGTTCCCCCTTCCCTGCTAACACTCTTGGGTAAGAATGCAGAATGCACATGCCTGACCTCACCGAGGTGAATGGCTCTGTGGCAGCTCCATAGTTCAGTATTAAATGTTGGGTATAGACACGTGTGGCTACAGTCGAGACAGGTACCGAGGCTAGTGCCAGTATAGCAGTAGCAATGGGGTAGACGCTGTAGAATAGTGTCTGTTTCCGATTAGGTGGCCGACTGCCCCTCCTTTCCCAGAGCTTTCTGCACTCTCTTCCCCCCCACCCCCCCCCATGGCCCGAAACACAAAGGGGCAATCCCAAAATCAGGGCTTCGTAGTGCTAGTGCCTTGTGGCCATCGCCCCGATCCCACCCCATTGCCCCAGCCTTCCCCAGACATAATGTCCTACAGGCACCTCCAGCAACTGCTGCCCTGGCATCAGTAAAGCTAGGGGTTGCTTAGCACGTGCAGCTGGACACAAGGAGAGCCAGCGCAAACTAGATCTATTTTTAGTACCGTCGCCCATAGCAGCCCCAGTTGTGGCCCAGGACTGTGCCAGGTGCTGTACAGACACTGCTCCGAGGAGCCCTGCCTCAAAGAACTCAGTGCGACTAGCCACCCACAAGTGCTCCCTGGCACTCCCTCTATGCAGTGAATGTTGCTAGGGAGAAGGGGCTAACTGGCAAACAAGCCCCTCCCCTTCGGAGAAGAGGTGGGGGAGGAGGATTTTTGGTCTCCCCGCCGCCCTTTGCTGGGAACTACTGAAGCAAACCTGAAAGCCAGGGCTCTTCTTCCCCCCCACTTCCCCATAATGCCAGCTGCCCTCCTGCTGGGCTGGGCTAATCCCTGGGTATGGATCACTTAACCCTGATCAGCCGGTGATAAACACATTCCAGGGGGATTAGCACAAGAAACCTGAATTGAATGGAGTGAAACAAAGAGGTCAGAGCTGCTCTAAATGAAATCCACACTGCAGCTGTGTCTGCTACAGAGATTACCTGTTGGGGAGCAACTGAGCGCGTTCAGCTGCCAGTCTGTGCTGGGTGACTCTTGTAGTGTGGACAGGTGGGTGCTACCGTAGAAGATGAGACTGATCCCTCTAGGTCAGGGCTGAGGCCCCCATTTGAGGCTGGGGGGCAGGAGGGGGCACTTGCTGTGTGCTGTACTTGGGCTGAGGCTAGCTAGGACTTCATCCTCCACTCCCTTTCACCAGCTCAGAAGAGCAAGTGCTGGATCTAGGTGTAGCTGTGGCTCCTGTGGCCACCTGCTTTGACAGGACAGATGAGCTCCAGCCAGCCTTGCGAAGAGGCCTTCTGTCAAGTTTCCTGCTGCTGGCCTCCTCCAATTCACCAGATTGGTGGCTCTGTTGGGGAAGCTCTCGCCTGTCACTAGAGAGTGGCAGCTGATCTGATGACAAGGGGAGAAGTATGTCAGCAGTAGGGATGCTGGTAGTGGGGGCCCGGGGGCTGATGAGAGCAGAGGAGCTCCCAAGTGGAGCGGATGCAACCTGAGCTGGCTGTCCCAGACTGGCCACGCAGGGCAGTTCTTGTTTATGGCTCACCTGCTTGGAGCCATTCCCACAGCCCTTGGAGTCACAGCCCTTGACTTGCCAGGGCTTGCGTGTGGGACATGGCCCGAAGGAAGAGCTGACACCACAGCTGGGAGTGAGAAATGCCAAACCTCACCTCCTCATGGATTCAGGTTTCCATAGCCGCCGTCTGACTCAGCCTCTGTCACCCACCCGTAGGGGCTGCAGGGAAGGGACCCAGGTGTCTGAGGTGTGGGGGAGTGAATGTGGATCTGAAACCTTGTCCCATCCCAGCTGATAAGGGCTAGGGGGAGTCCCTTGGATTGTGCAGCTGGAATCTCTTCTCTCGTGGCTCCCCACGCAGGTGCAGGGCAAGGCACTTGGGGTTCTTGTCCTCTGACCCTGTTTTGGGATGATCTAGGGAGACAGAAGCTGCTTCACCATAAGTGGGAGCTCATTCAGGCCGTGCTGTGAGCAGTGACTGCAGGGCGCCAGGAGCCTCTCCCTGCTGGGGTTGCACTCGAAGTTTCTGAACAGGCGGCCACCAAATAATGTGGTATTGCTGGCTGGGGCTGAGAGGAGCCATTGACCGTAGGTCCTGGTGCGTGCACAGGCTGCCCCGGTTCATACTGCCGCTGGCGGGTCGTAGCTGCACTAAGATTAGGGCTGGCAGAATTGAGTTTTTAACGTTGTATGATTTTATGGATATCGGTGTTTGGTTTTGAGCATCTTTTTCAATGTTTATTGATTTTTAAATTTCACAGTTGCAGGGAATTATGGGAGCGTTTGACAGTTTAGTGACAGGCACTGAGATTCAGAAAGTTAAATTTTATAAACGGTTAAAACACACATTGTATATTTTGACATGTGATGTTGACAAAGTAAATACCCTTGATCAAGAGATCACACCTGTTTGCACTATTCATTTGTAACAAGCCTCATTCAAAAGTCAAAATCGCTGGGTTTTTACTCTGGTCTCAAACAGTGTTTTTCTTACTTGCCTAGCTGTAAATTTCATCATCATCCATGGAAATGTTTTTCATCGGTTTCATCCTTCCAAGCCGAACTAAGACCTCGCTGAGAGGTGAACATGATGTTTGAGGCCAGTGTGTGGTGAGCTACCCCAGCATACTGTGGTTACTCATGTGCTCTCTTCTTCCTAGGAGCTGGATCTCTCGCCAGGGGACCCCAAGTGGCTGGATGTGATTGAGCGGGATCTCCACAGGCAGTTCCCATTCCATGAAATGTTTGTGTCTCGGGGAGGACACGGGTAAGAGCTCCCACTCTCTGCCGTGTGACTTGGTTGTTTGCAGCATCCATAGGGCCTGGTAGCTGAGGCTCTGGGCTGAGCCAGGTTACCTGCAGATCAGCTCAGTAGAGTCTTGTTTACTCCCTTCTCCAATGTCGCATCTGCCTCTAGCAGCCAGCCCACCCTGGTGCTCAGACCCAGCAGTAATGGACATGGGCGGAGAGTTTAGGTGGGTCGGCTCCCTCTGTTGCTCATCACCTGTTGCTGGCTGTCTAGCTCCATGTTGGCACTCATTCTTTGTGCAGGTCGCACTAGAGCCCCTTGACGGGCCTGGGGAAGGGTCTTGCGAGAGGGACGCTATGGGGTGGGAGGACGTGGACACGTGATCAAACAGCAGAGGGAGGGGGAGCTGGCTATTCACACGAAGCATGGAGTGAAAGGGAGATGTGTATGTAGCAATGTTAGAGGCCTCTCCGGGTTACCTGGTAACCAGGCATGTCCTGAGCTGTGTCCCTCTGTGCGGATAGCTGCAGGCCTGGGCACGTCGGCCAATAGAGCGTGACTGAGTAGCTGGCTGAGTCGTCTCCCATGCTGTGAGTGCTGCACGCGCCAGCCCAGGTCTCCATCACACCAGTGCCAGGCTCCCAGTGCAAGGCAGATTCTCCCTCTCCCATCTGGAGAGGGAGTCGGAGGCTGGTTGTAAGCCCCTTGATGAAACATGACTAACCTTGTTGAAGGGCTCCAGGTCTGAGAGGATGACGGGGCTAACAGCCTTGTACGCACCCAGTGAGAACAAGACACCAGAGCTCCCTGGGGAGTGTTGCTGATGAGATCAGAGCCTCCGTCTGGTTATCTGCATTGCAGTAGTGCCTGCATGGCCCTGTTGTGTGTGTGCGTAAGAGCCCCGTCCAAAGAGTTTAATCTTAGTGGGGAAATGCCAGGCCCCGGTGAGGTGACTGCCGTAAGCAGCAGTCCTTGCACTCCAGCTGCCTGTCTGGTGCAGGACGTTACAGGTGTCAGGGCTTGGGCAGGTTCTGAGAAGAGTGGTGGAGCAGAACCCAGTGCAGAGCCTCGTTGGGCTGTGATCTGCTGTGCCTGGAAGGCTCTGTGCCACAGCCAACTCGAACTGCATTGGCCTGTGTCCTGCCCTCCTGGTACAGGAACCATGCTGAGATGGGCTGGAGTCATCTGGCTGGGCGAACTCAGGCCCTCAGCAGCATGGAACTGCTAAACTAGTGCCTGGTGTCCGACTGAATGAAAAGTGATTTTTGTACTGAGGTCGGCGTCTACTTGATTTGCTGCTGTGGACTGGGAGGTGTCCCCATGCAGGGCCCCAACCAGTGTTTGCCTCTGGCTCCTGGGACTCTAGTGGTGAGGTTCTAAGTAGATCTCTGTGTTCCCGGTACTGTGTGACTGCCCACCTATAGGTGCTGGGGCCTGGTGCCCTTCTGGGGCTCGAGAGCCTAAAGGTGGGAGATCAGACACCACCCTCACGTGCCTCCTGTCCATGTCCTTGCTCCCCGTTGCTCAGTGGGTGCTGTTTCTCTGCAGGCAGCAAGACTTGTTCCGGGTGCTGAAGGCCTACACGCTGTACCGGCCGGAGGAGGGATACTGCCAGGCCCAGGCTCCCGTCGCAGCAGTGCTGCTCATGCATATGCCTGTGGAGGTACTGACTGCACACCACCTCGGACAGGACCATTGGGGCCGGGGGAGGGCTCTGACCCAGACACACCCCCCACCCGCCCACCCACCTCTGGCCCAGATCATGGCCCATCCCCCTGCCTTGTTGGTACCGGTTCCACCTGGATTGGCCCTTGCACTGGGAAGAGCCCAGTTAGCTTCCTGGAGGTGGTCGAGGAGGCTGGGGGTGGAGCAGCTGTGAGGGAGTGAGGAGGGGTCCCTGCTTTCTTTCTGTCCCACGGATGATCTGCCCCTGCCTGCAGTGATCTCGGATCCCGGGGAGGGCATCTTCTAGCACAACAGAGCTGGCCCTCCTTGCGTGCTCCCTGCACAGATTGTCCCGAGGGCTGGTTTGGGCTGGTGTCCGGTGTAATGGCGGTTAGCAATGCTCCAGCGGGATCTGACCCGTGCTAAGGAGAGGGAATCTCTAGTCCTCTAGGGAGACTCCCAGTCCTCCAGCTAGGGGGTTGGGAAGGGACCAAGGACTCGGCTGTGTTTGGAGACTGCAGGGCTGACACTCCCCAAGGAGGAGAGGCAGGGCAAGGGGCCGTGGCAGCAAACCCCAGCGAGTGGGGCCTTTCCTGGAGTGCTGGTTGTGCCTAGAAGTAGGAGTTGCAGGGGAAAGGATCTCTCGTAATGGGGGATTATCCTCATTTTCAGCCCAAGGGGTGGAGTAGCCGCCTAGGGGGTTCGCCAGGGACTGCAGGACCCTGTGCCGGCAGGGGATGGGCTGTTGGGTCTCCCCAACTTTTGATTGTGGTGGAGGAGCTGCTGTAGCTGCCTTGTCTCAATTCTCAGCGGGTGGAAACCCAAACACGTCTGGCCCCTGCAGACAACCTTGCTCACATGTGGATTGGCCTCCAGCCAGCCAGCCAGGGGCACTAGCGAGAGGAGGTTATCTCACTGGGTGCTGGCTGTAGAGCCTCTCCTCTCCCCAGTAATGTGTGCCAGGGCTGGCTGGTGCCTGCTCAGGCTAAGCTAAGGAGGCAGCGTGTAGGGCGTGTTCCTTTCTCCGCAGAAAGGACCCGCCCCCCATCCCTCCTGCTTGTTAAGCGGGCGGCCTGGGCAGTGTTCAGTCAGACGGGCAGACAGACAGCCAACTGCCCCTTGCACTGGGCTGCCGCATCCCCCAAAAGGTATCGGAAGTGCCGTGTGCTCCAGGCCCTGGAGGGTATGGAGTCAGCCTAGGGAAACACTAAAGCAGGCATCCCACTGGCATTGGTTCTGGCTTATGCTCTGCCACGTCTCCCCCCTCCTGAGAATGCCAGGGACTTTGTCTGCCCTTCCGGGGGATGGGGCTTCCCTGCGCCCGAGACATCGTAACTGCCAGGGCTGCCTGCCGTGGGGATTCCCGCCCCCGCTCTGGGTTATGGCAGTGTGGCATAATGGCTAATGTGCTGGCCTGGGACTCAGACCTGGGTTCTGTGCCCAGCTCTGCTGCTGGGTGACCTTGGGCAAGACCTTTCCCCTCCCTGTGCCTGTTTCCCCATCTGTAGAATGGGGATAGTGAGCCTGACCTCCGTGAGGCGCTGGGGATCGGCTGGTAATGAGCGCTAGCGGAGAGCTGGGATTAATAAACTCCTCCTGGAGCGCAGCCACGTTTGTGTCTGGGCTGCACAGCACGGGGCACGGTCTCGAACTTCCTGGGGCTCTGTCCCCTGAGCCCTTCCCATCTCAGACACGGGTCCCCGCCACCAGCACTGACCAGCCTGGCTTTCTGGTGTGCTCAACCTGGGCTCCCACTGATGGGTAGGAGCTGGGTGCCCAGCCCTCTGAAAATCGGGAATGAGGTGCCTCTGGGCAGGCCTGGGAAAGGGATGGTCAGGGCCCAGGAGGAAGCTTGCTGCATGGCCGCAGGGAAGGGGGCAGGCCCTTTGGGTGCAGGCTGGCCCTGCTTTTAGGCACAGCAGTACCGCTACACAGAAGCAGGATGCCCATAGGGCTGCGTTTCCCCTTGCTGGGCCCCGTGGCTTGGAAGGAGCAGCACTGGCAAGTGGGGGGCCTGGGGCTGCACTGACAGCAGTGAGCGCATGGAGGGCATCTCCAGCAGGGCTGCAGCGCATGCCACCCTGTCCTGCACTGACGGCCTGTTCCCTCCTGCAGCAAGCCTTCTGGTGCCTGGTGCAGATCTGCGAGAAGTACCTCCCCGGCTACTACAGCGAGAAGCTGGTGAGTGAGGGTGGGTGGGAGGGAGAGGTCCCTCTGACACCTCTGAGCCTGCCCCCCAGAAAGCAGCTGGTAGCTTCCTGGGTCAGTAGTAGGAGGACAGTTGGCTTCCTCTGCCTGCGATAGTCACCAGGGGCTGCAGGTGGACACGGTCTACCAGAGCAGAGCCCGGAGAGGGTCGAGTGTGGAGGCTCTGTAGCAAAGGGCCTGTTGGGCCACCTGCTCCAGAGGGAGGGTAGCCGCAGGGTTAGGCCCTGGGCTGGGAGACGGGGGTTCAGTCCCCAGCTCTGCGGGACTGTGTTGCTGGGCCCTGGGGATGCTGCTTCCTTGGCCCTGCCTCGCTAGGCTGGGTGCAGAGGCTGTTCTGCACCTGGCCCAATGGGTTCCTGACCTCATGGGCACCTCGGGTGCTGCTGAGCTACGTGTCGGGTTAGTCCAGAAAGGGCCTGTCCTGGATAGATCAGAGAGGCAGGTGGATGCTCCAGCCTTCCAAAAGCAGCTCTGTGGCTAGGCCGGGAGCAGCTGCTCCATGCCCATCACAGGGATGTCTAGAGCATCCATGGGGAGCTGCTTTGGGTTTCTTTCCATGGCCCATCAGAAGCCTGTGGCTTACAATGTCCAGCCTGGGGCAGTGACTGCACATTGGGGAGGTGGCTCATGCTGGGGGGGGGGGGGGGGGAGCCGAGTCCCGTGAGCTGACCCTGTGCTTGCAGTAGCTGATCTGTGTGTACAGTCGCAGCAGAGTGTGAATCCCGCTCACATACTGAGATCTTTATCTGACACAGCAAAAGGCTCTGTTCACAGGCTCCATTTCTCCCCCTCCCCAAACAGAAGTCCTGCCAGTCCCCTCCCACCGCAAGTGGCCCTGGGCACCTCACTTAGACTGCATTGCCACTGTGGGCAGGGCCACTGGCTTGCACCAGACCCTCTTAGCAAGGACTGGCTCATCCTCTGGAGTACAAACCACTTCTCTCCCCCCCTCCCTTCCCATTCTGCAGTATCTGCTCCCACTAGGAGGGCAGCGTGTTCCCATAATGCATCGGGAGTGGGTCACTCCGAGGAGGGGGGGGGAGGGAGTTGCAGGGGGACTGGGGTTTCCCAGTGTGTTTCTGCACTGGTAGGACATGTCTCTGGCTTGGCAGCCCTGGAGACTGAGCTCCAGCAGCCATGCAGAGTGGACTAGGAAGGACGACCATGAACTGGGACTCTGTGGCTCTGGGTCCAATTTCTGGCTCTGCCAGATGCCTGCCGACCTTAGCAAGTCGCTCACCCCCTGCCTCTGTTCCCTCCTGTACAATGGGGGTGATGCTGACCCAGCTGCAGGGCATATGTGAACCTGGACCAGTGGTTCTCAAACGTCTTGGCAGCCCCTTTCACACAGCAAGCCTCTGAGTGCGTCCGCCCCCCCTTCTAAATTAAAAACTCATTTTTATATTTAACACTATTTTACATGCTAAACTTATAACCTTGTTGTTTAAACTGAATTTACCTTTTCTCACCACTTTTAAATCAAAACTAAAATACATTTTTATTGAATTGTTATAAGCAAAAATTATTTTTTTAACTAGTTACTGTTTTAATACTGGAGGGACGCAAAGAAACTTTGTTAGTATCACTTTTCCCAGCAGACTTAGCGCCCCATTGCCACCCTTACTTCTGTGCTGCTGCTGCTGGCACGCTGCCTTCACAGCTGTTCACACCTTCCTCTTGGCACATGGGGTCAGCCCCAAATACCCAGCCTCTGCCTCAGCAGCCTGTCAGGATCCCAGCTGGAGAGGGTGAGAAATGCAAAGCCCAGTAACTTGGAGCATGGTAGCACCACTGTAGCCAGCCGGGAGTTGGTGCAGTTGGCCCTGCCTCTCCTGTTGGGTTGTCGCTGGCGGACGGCAGCTGTTTGGCTGTTTCTTGGTGACCATAAGTGTGTGGATGGCGGGTGGGCACTGTTTTGGGGGGATGGCCCATCCCTGGTCCTCCCCAGCAGCGCCTCTCCCCTCCCGTAATCTGCCGCTCTCCCTGCAGGAGGCCATCCAGCTGGATGGGGAGATCCTCTTCTCACTGCTGCACAGATTCGCACCCATGGCTTACAAGCACTTGAGCAAGCAGAAGATCGACCCCATCCTGTACATGACGGAGTGGTTCATGTGCGCCTTCTCCAGGACCCTGCCGTGGAGCTCCGTGCTGCGTGTCTGGGACATGTTCTTCTGTGAAGGTAGCACATGGGTCCCCCGCTGCTCTGTGCTCAGACTGGGACCTAGCTTGGGGACATCTGGGGGACTTGCCAGCCTGGCCCCCAGTTCAGCTGTCTGCACCGAGGGGAGCCATGTTCTCATGGCCCCGACGTAGAATTCTAACCCATGGGGCCTGGTTCTATTCCTGCCTCTGCCACTGGCTGCCTCTCTGCCTCAGTTTCCCCATCTGTAACCAAGTACTCAGAGATCTTTGGCTACAGAAGTGGAAATGATCAAACCAACACACCTGCTCAGCTTGCCTGTGCTGGCAGGTAACAGTGCAGTGGGAGCTGCTTTCTGTCAGGTTCAGCTGGGCCACAGCAGCTCTTTGGTCTCACTCCTGGAAGGACAGGAGTCTCTGTGCGTCTCAGGAACAAACTGGATTGGCCGTTTAACATGGGGATACAGATCACTAGTGCTGGGCGTCTCCCCATGCTGAACAGGGCCAGGGCAGGAGCAGTATCCCACGTACTCCATCTACCAGCATCCCAGGCCCTTCCCGTCCCCATGACACTGAGGATCTTTGTTCCAAAGGGCTGGGCTCTCACCTTCCCCTTGCTTCTTCCCCCATCACCCTGAGCACTGGGGAGCAGAGGGGTCCCTCCTCGGCGTCCCTGGAGCTGGTACTGTGGCCTGGCTGAGCTGTCTTGGGAACTCATCCCTGCCGGGGCTGGCTCATCGGTGGGGCTGCTTGGGAGCTCCGGCTTGTTCTGGCCACATCCCCCAGCCCTGGTGCTCACGGGCAGCTGTGGAGAGCCATCTTTCTGGAAGCAGTGACCCCGAGTCTGGCCGCTGGGTAGGAGATGCAGGGCCCCTCGCCCTCAAAGGGCTCCCCAGGGAGGCTGAGATGAGCATTCACCACGGTCAGGGTCTGACTGGGCCCAATCCTTGGGTAAAAGGTTGGGGTTGCATGGCCTCCCTCAAGTGTCTGCACTGGGCAGTGATGTAGGGTGACCAGACGTCCCGATTTTATCGGGACTGTCCCGATATTTCCTTGTTTGTCCTGCGTCCCGACCAAGGTTAGGTCGGGACCAGGGCCGGCTCCAGGCACCAGCCCACCAAGCATATGCGGCGCCTGGAGGGGGGCGGCGCGGCGAGGCGGGGCGCTCCGGCCCAAGAGCGGGGCCCCGGCCGGGCTCACCGCCCTCCCCCCCAGCGCTCTGGCCGGTCGGGGAGAGCGGGGCCCCGGCCGGGCTCGCCGCCCTCCCCCCCGGCGCTCTGGCCGGTCGGGGAGAGCAGGGCCCCGGCCGGGCTCGCCGCCCTCCCCTGCCACGCTGGGGGGGGGGCGGCGGGTGGCTTTTTTGCCTAGGGCGGCAAAAAAGCCAGAGCCGGCCCTGGTTGGGACACTGGACAAACAAGCAAATACTCCGGAGCCTGGAAGTGCTCGTGCCCCCCCGACTCCGCCCCCTCCTTCCCCCATTGGCTCCCTCCCCGAATCCCCGCCTTTTCCTCAGGCTCGCCATTCCTCCTCCCTCCACAAGCGCTGGAGGGAGGCCCCAGAGACACAGGGGGAGCGCGGGGCCGGGGTGAGTGAGAGTCCGGCCTGGCCCCGAGTGCAGGCAGGACTCAGTCGGGCGGTAGGGAGAGGAGGGGGGCGGCCCGCGGGGCCAGCTGTTCTCCCCCCCTGGGCAGCGGGACTCGGGAGCAGCCGCTGCTGCAGCTCCCACTGCCGCGGGGGGAGGAAGCGGCCATGGCGCTCGGCGGCTGCGGCTCTGGCGCCCGGGCCCGAACCCCCCGAGCCCGGGCCTGCTGTGGGGACCCAGCAACGCGCACGCTGCGCCCAGCCCCTGGCCAGTCGCGTCTGGGCTGGCTGCCCAGCTGGTGCTATCCCGCGGCGGCCCCGGGGCAGAGGCATCGGCAGCCCAGCCCCGTTCGTTCCCCTGCAGGACCCGAGCGGGACGGGGGGGCTGGGGCCTGCTGCCCCCACTCCGGGATATTTGACCTGGGTGATCTGGTCACCCTAGCAGTGATGCATGTCCAAACTCGCTCCACTCCCTCCTGCCCCCTGCTGGCAGCCTGTCTCCCTGCACCAGGTTCACTGTGCTCTCCACACTGCCCCCTCTTCACTTGGAGCCGAAGCTTGAGAATTACGTAGATGGTCGCAAGTCTCCGTCTCCCTCCCTCTGCTGAGGGCTCTAGCTGCGCACCCCCCTCCAGAGAGGGCTCTGAATATGCCCCCTTTGTCTTCACGCTGCTGCTGCTAAGCTGTGCCCCTGGGCTAGGCTTGGGGGGCCCTGACCCTCCTTCGCCTCCGTCGGAGCGACGTCAGTGGAGGGCCCCTCGCCCTGTTAGGACAGGAGGGTGGGGCCTGTGGGGATGGTGGGGCGTTCACGCCTGAGCTGAGTCAATGACCAGTGCCCTCCTGTGGAACACGGGCCAGAGAACTCCCCCGAAGTAACGCCTGTTTGAACTAGAGCAGATTTCGTAGCTACACGTCCAGTCTGGCTGGCAAACATCACCTGCGATGGCGGATCTGCCCCGGGCCTGGATGAGTCGTGCTGGTTCATTATCCTCTGTGTGTACCTACAAAACCTGCCTTATTGCCAAGGAAGGGGCCAGGGCTGCCCCTGTTCGAGGGCATTGGCACTGCAGGAGGGTTCTCAGTCTGTCAGAGCCCAGGAAAACAATCAGCTCTTAGCACCTGCTGGTGCTTTCTGCCTCTGAGTGCTACCTGCTCATTTCTGGAAGGGATGTGCAGCAAGACCGGATTGTGGCCTAGGGTTGGTAGGGAGGTGGGGGGCCATGCTGTGGCTGGGTACAGCTTGGGATGAATGGATCTGAAAGGCAGTCCCCAGCACAGAGGCTGTGGCTGAGCTGTGGTAGCAGTAGAAGATGGGTCAGTCTGAGCTGTGGTTACCCAGCCCTGAGCCTGCCATGAGAGTTACCAGGGCATGATTTGGCCTTGCTCCCCGGGCAGGCTGTCTCTCCTGGCCATGTGTTTCAGTAGGGGTTGGGTGTGTTTTGAGGAGGCAGTGTGGTGCAGTGGATAGAGCACTGGATTGCAAGGAGCGAGGTAGTTTCTGCTCTTGCCTTGCTGTGACCTTGGGCACTTCGTTTCCCCTCACTGTCTCTGGTTCCCCTGGATCCTCTGCCTGCCTTGCCTGTTCAGATCATCAGTTCTCCAGGGCAGGGATTGTCTCTGGCTGTGTCTCATGCCAGCGCTGTGGGGCCCTGATCTCAGCTGGGGTCTCTGCGCAGGCTGGCTTCAGACTGCGTCCAAAGGAGCTACTGGGAGGAGAGCGCTGGCGGGTGTAGAGAAGGCAGCCAAGGAGCCAGTTCTCCGACAAACAGCATTTCAAAGCACACCACTGGGTGGCTACTTCAAGCTGGAGCTAAGTTTGGGGGCAGCTCCAGTGTAACCTCAGCTGGGCCCCGGGGGTGCTTGTCTCTTGCACCTCTGCAGATCAAGGTTCTGAGAAGAGATGATTTTCCTGGCAGCAGTGCCGGGGAAGATGCGTCGGGCACTGGGCTCCAGGCTGCCAAGCGATCTGGTTGATACTTGGGTTAATGTAGCACAGGGCAGGGGAGCCATTGGAAGGACGGTGCTGATCCCGGTGCTGCCTTGCAGCCTACTCTTGGGGGATTGTGTCCATGAAGCAGGTGCTGGTAATTCCTTGTCTCTGGCTGGGACCAGACTGGTGTCGGGTCACAAGCAAGACATTGGTTTGGGACTAAGGGGCCCACACATTGCCCCAAAGGCAAATGGGGCAGCAGGCCGGGTAAATTTTAGGTTTGGGAGTTGGTGGGGGAGAGGAGGGGAGCAGTCATTGGATCTTCCCCTCCTATCTGAGCCTTTGTGTCTCTGGCTCTGAGAAACCTCCCGCCAGCCATTAACCCCAGACTGCCCATTGGAGAGCGTGGGGGCAGCTCCGAGGGTCACTGTCCTAAACTATCACTGTTGCACTCACTGTTCTCTTCAGAGCGTCCCGTCCCAGTATGCCATGCTGCAGCCTGTGGAGTCTATTAGAGGCTGAGGGCTGCTGGCTCCCAGCTGGCCTACATGGGGGTGGGGGTCCCTGTTTTAGGTCACGTACCGATGGGGAAGAGCAGGGCAAAGAACCTTTCCAGTCCCTATGGCTGGAGCGGGCTGGTATGTGGCCGAGCCCTGGGGCTGTGCGGGTGCTAACCGGCTGGTGGCTCTGCTCTTCCAGGGGTGAAGATCCTGTTCCGGGTCGGCCTGGTGCTGCTGAAACACACGCTCGACTCCTCCGAGAAGCTCAAGTCTTGCCAGGGGCAATACGAGACCATGGAGAGGCTGAGGGCGCTGAACCCCAAGATCATGCAAGAGGCCTTCCTGGTGCAGGAGGTGAGGAGATGTCTGTCGGGTCAGAGGTGGGCTCCCAGGCTGCCCTGGCACACGCATGTCCACAGTTGGCAGCTCACCAGCCCTCTCCCCCCTCACAGCGGTGACTGGATGGGAACCAGCTGCACTCAGCATGGCCTGAGCCTTTCATCCAGTGATCAAAGCCCAGCACCGCCTGGCTGGCACTCGGCACTCACATTCCCTCTAATGGAAGTGGGCTGGGGTGTGGAGAGGGCCTAGGGATTGATGGGGGGCTGGGGTCTCTCCCTCCCAGTGCACTTTGCTGCTGCTCTCCCCCCCGTCTGCTGCTTCAGCAGGCGAGGGAGCTCCCTAATGGGGGCAAACAGCCCACCTCCCGCCCTGGCAGATGGGCAGCTCCTGGCTTGGGGGATCTCCCAGTTCCTGGGGACAGTGACTATGCTGCTGCCTCAGGCTGCTCTGTGGCATTTCCCAGGAGGGGCTGTCACTAGCTGAACACTCCCTGGGGTGGGCACTTGGCTCAGAGCCTCCAGCCCTGGGAAAGTAGCTTTGGGGGCCAGATCATCAGCTTCCTGCAGAGCCTCTTCTGGAGGGGCCCTGGGCAGGAGGCAGGGGCCTGCTCAGCATGGGAGAGCCCTGGCTGGGGGAGGGGCCCTGGGCTCTGCTGTGAAGGGCTTTCAGGAACCCCAGACTTAAAAGCAAGTTCAAATCCAAGGGCTACCCCCCCTTTTCCCCCCCCCCAGCATTGAGTGAAGCAGCTGTGTTCAGTGCAGTGCTGCCCTCTGCTGGTGAAGGCTTGGATAACAAGCAGGTCCTCTATCAGGGTACTGCAGGCCTTCCAGAGAAACCATGAACTATGTGGATGCTGGTGCAGGAGCAGCGGAAGGTCCCTAAAAGTGTGTGGGGGGCCACCAGTGCCCGAACTGTGCCCCTGCCCTCATGCTGCCCTTCTCCCTAAGGTCCCGCCCCACCCCACCCATGTCACATGTGGCTGAGACTGCTCCCTGGGGAGACAGCTGTGTTGGCAGCCCCCAGTTCTGGCCTAGCCTGCTGGTTGGCTGGGCAGGGGCCTGATGAGCATGTGCTGTCCCCACAGATCATAGAGCTGCCGGTGACGGAGCGGCACATTGAGCGGGAGCACTTAATCCAGCTGAAAAAGTGGAAGGAGACCCGTGGGGAGCTGCAGTGCAGGTCTCCCCCACGCCTGCATGGCGCCAAAGCCATCAGCGACTCGGAGCCACATTCCCGCAAGGCGCTGGACCCTTCGCCCTCCATTATCCTGGCCCCCGGCCAGGCGCTCCCACCCAAGGGCCGCAAGAACAAGGAGAAGAAACGAGACCAAGGAAAAGTCAAGCCGGCCAATGGCCCCAACCCTGAGGAGAACGGAGCCCAGGCCTTCGTTGAGCCTGGGGCCTCCCCGCATCACCAGTCCAAGGACAGCCTGAGCTCCCGCGAGAGCGAGGACACCTACTTGTAATGGGGTCACAGCACATTCTGACTCCGCGGTGGCAGAGCGCCCAGGGCTGCCACCTCTGTGCCTGAGGGGCCAGCCAGCTGGGCCTAGACTCAGGATTGATTCCCTGCTGCTGCCAAAGTGGGGAGCAGGGTGTGTCTGGGGGCCTCTCACCTGCCACTCTGGGTGCCGGGGGGAGGAGCCTTATCTGTGGGAGTTAAGTTTTTATTTATTGTTTGGCTGCAGCTGATTTGCAGAGCAGAGACCAAGGGAGCCGGGCTGTGCCTGGGGTGACCATTCAGACCTGTAGGCAAAGGGCGGTGATCGTGCGTCTGCCCGAGGTCTGAATGCGTCTTTTCCTTCCATTGGGAGGCTCAAAGCCCTGTTCCCAAGAAAGGTCTGGGGCCTGGCTGGCTGCTCCAACGGGGGCTGGCTGATGTTTGAAATAAGCTGATGAATCGACCTGAGGCAGAGCAGGGGGCAGAATCGATCTCCTCCCAGCCCAGGTGGCTTCTTTCCATGATGAAGTTCCCTCTAAGGATCCCAGCTGCTGTCTTGGCTGGGCCAATCCTCCGTCGCTGAGTGGGTTGGAGGGGTGTGTACCCAGCAGTCGTGGAGGAGCATCCTAGGCTAGCTGCTGCACATGCTTGGCCTGAGCTGTGGAGGAAGAGTTGAGTTGTTCTGTCCTGCCCCAGCCAGTGCTGCAGGAGTGTCTCTGTATTGCCCAACGGGGGTGGCTCTCTTGGCCTGAGCTCGGCGGATTCCAAACTGGCGCTGTATCTGGTGGGGGCGGGGGGCTAAGGAGGAAATGACGTTCCCACCCCACCCTGCTCCTCCATTTCTATAGAGCTGCACCTGAGCATTTATTTTGGACTTTCTCTACTGCAGCGAGCCTATTTATTTGTGTAGCATAACTGTTCAAAAGGAGCCTTGCCAATATATAGGGAAAGGTTAGATCCGCCCCAGTGGGCGCCTGCAAATTCTGGGCAGGATGCAAGGGGCTGGGGACAAGGTCTGCATGAGGCAGGGCTGGCACTGGTTGCTCAGGACCTGGGGGAAAGCGCTGCTTGCAGGGGACTGAGTTGAGCCTGCTGCTTTGGGTTTGCAGGGGCAGCCCTTCCTGGGGCTGTTTGGCAAGGTAAATGAGGCTACCTGGAGCACGCGTTGTCTGATTAAAGCTGGTGCTAGGCCTGGCATCTCAGCCTCGAATGCTGGGAGAGAACAGGTATATTCAGGGATTAATCCAGATGTGGGAGGGCAACAACCACTGCCTCCTAAATGGGGGTGCAGCCTGCAGATCCCAGACTGCAGTCCTCTCTCGATCCAGGAAGTCTCTGGCATATTGCATTAGTCATTGCAGGTTGCACTTCCACACTGAAGAGGGCAGTGTGAGCTGATTCTGGTGCAGCCTCGGGTGGACTGAAGTTGGGGAACCCCAGATATTGATGGCAAAGGTGAAAGGGAAGGAGGGTCTATTTTCCAGCTTGCATCATTAATGAATCCGGGGGCGAGGGGTCTGTTAGGAATCCTTCCCTCTTCTTCTTCACTCAGTCTTAGCTTCTCTGCAGACTGCCCCCTGGGGGTGGAAGGGATCTGACTGGAGGGGCTTCTCCTTGCCCCTCCCAACAATGTTGGACAACGTGCCCTTGTGGGTGAGACTCTGTAAAATAAATCAGTGAATGAAGTTGCAATGTTTTTGTACAGAGAATCAATAAAGCAGATTGTGTAAAGAAGGCATGTGCTGCTGGGAGTGGGGTTCTCTGCCTCCCTCGAGTAAGGAGCCTGGGGTCCAGTCCATCCCCCACCTTGGGATCCAGGGGCATTAATTCACCTGGCCCAGCGACTGCTTTCACTTCAGCTTCGTAAGAGTTCAAACAACTGGCCACGACTTCTCTGCATAAAGCCCTTCCTTAAGCCCCAGCAGGATGAACTTGTTTCAAGTCTTGGGTACTTACCCCCTGGTGCAACAATTCACTAGTGTATGTCAGAGCCCAGCAGGGCCATGGACCTAGCCAGGACTCCCCAGCAATTCCATGGCTGCTCCATGTTTGGACCTAGCATTTCAAATGCTCCAGACCAACTGACTGCCTTAGAGGTCCCTTGTCCCCATGATCTTCCATTTATTAAAGCCTCATGTCCCACTTGAATGCGGCTGCCTCTGGGGCTGTGCAAGGCAGGAGCAATGTTACGGGAGAATAGCCAGGGCCAGAAGGGTAGTGTTGGGTCGGAACCACGCTGGGGCGCCATCACTTCAAGGGTAATTCCTGCCTCTGTCAGAAACGGGGGGAGGGGGCTGATCTGGGAACAGAGGGTCGGTCGGAGCTTTGGGCTGGTCTACACTGGGGGGGATCAATCCAAGATACGCAACTTCGTGTGGCTGAAGTCGAAGTATCTTGGATCGAATTACCTGGGGTCCAGATGGCGCGGGATCGACGGCCGCGGCTCCCGCCGCTTGCTCTGGTGGAGTTCCGGAGTCGACGGTGAGCGCGTTCGGGGATCGATATATCGCATCTTAATGAGACGCGATATATCGATCCCGGATAAATTGATTGCTACCCGCCGATACGGGGGGTAGTGAAGACATACCCTTTGTGTCCCTTCCTTGCTGCTCTCTGACTGAAGGCCTGAAAGTCTGGAGGGGGGGATTGATTATTTTCCTTGTTACTCTAGACATCACTCTCCCTCTGACCTTTCCCTGGTGAGGCCGGTCACTGCTGGCCTGCTGATACAGCTGGGCCATTATGCAGAGACTGATTCAGCCAGGGCCCCCAGCAAGGCGGTGGAGACTCTGGCAGAACAGGAACTGGTACCCAAGGTCTAGGCTAGTGCCCTAACCACTGGGCAATTCTAACTAGCCTGTCCTGGGCAGAGCAGGCAGCTTGGCTCTGGAGTGCGTGCTGCAAACCCAGCTGCTCTGGGCTCTTCAACCAACTCTTTCCCCAAGCACTTTCTGGCGGCTTCCTAAATTCCAGTGGCTGCAGTACGCTTTGGCCACCACAGGCCTCCACTCCACTGCCTCAGCAAGCAGGATCTAGTGCTGCCTGTAGCTCCTGGCCACTGGCCCCTAGCTCCTCTGCTGGGGATAAATTCAGGGCAAAGGTCTCTGAGGGGGGCTGGGGGGGGGGGGGAGGCAGGAGGGATTCCCAGGAGGAGCCCCCAGCCAGGTGTGTCAGCAAAAGCAGGGTGGTCCTGCAGCCTGGCTGCTGCTTGGGAAGCTGGCGGGGGGCGGGGGGGGGGGGAGCATGTGCTTTTCTGCTGCAGAGCTATAGGCAGCCCCCCCTGAGCTCAGTCAGCAGCCAGACTCCTGTGAGGGCAGTTTCTGGACCTGGCTTGTGCTTCTGAACTAGAGGCTGGCAGGAATCTGGCACCGAAGAGGCTAAGCTGTAACATGGGCCAGGGCCCAAGTACTCTGTAAACCAGCTCCTGCCCTGGATGGGATGCTAGGCTAAAGCCCTACCTGGATGCTGGCCAGTGTCACCACAGTGAGGCCAGGGCCATGACCATAAGCACCGATCGGTAAAGGAGCTGGGCTCAGAGACCCAGCCAGGGCCACCATGGGTGTTTTCCAGCATAGCCCTAGGGAACAACTCACAAGCTGCACCCCACTAATGAGAACTGACCCACAGGGTGGGGGTGAACCTACAGCAGAAGAGAGAGCGCCAACAGAAGGGTGGGGGAGATCCCTCTCCTGGGTCAGGAAGAAAGAAGCTGGTGCTTCTACATAGCCAGCTCTGTTATGGGATGTGGTTCCTACACTCAG